GGGGGAGGGAGAATGTTCTATACTCGTGTTCATACCTTTTTACACTCTCATATTCTCAGACAGGCACCCAAACCACCCCTGAGCTTCAGACTCTGACCTGCAGCACCAAGGACGCCGAGAGAGTCACAAACCATGGAATGGGTGGGGTGGGAAGGGACCTCAAAGCCCACCCAGTGCCACCCCTGCCACGGGCAGGGACACCTTCCACCAGCCCAGGGTGCTCCAACCTGGCCTTGGACACTTCCAGGGATCCAGGGGCAGCCACAGCTCTGGGCAACGTCACCCCCCGTGCTGCAGGTCCAGCCTGGGTGGGCATGGCCCAGGCAGGGACAGCTGGAAAGCCGGGTTTATCCATCCCACTCATCCCAGTTCCTAGCCTCAGCCTCTCTTCCCGTGGGTTTTTAACAGCGATGCTGCCACAAAGGGCCGGGAGCGCTGGGAAATCCATCTGCTGTTACACAGGGCGTGTCCGGTGCCCTGCAGGGCGTTATCAGCTGCCGGATTTTATCATCAGGCTCCCCGCACTCAGCCTGGGCCTCCCCGGAGCAGCCAGGAGATTCCCATGGGAATGGCATCCAGTGCCGTGCTCTCCATGGTGCTGCAGCACGGGGACTCCAGCCCCGGAACGTGCTTTGACTTCTGCAAGGTGTTTATATAAATAATCGCCTGACCTATGGCTTTTTTACTCTGATCCAGCCCTGGAAGTGTCTCTGGACAGGCTGGCTGGGGTTTGGAGCAACCTGGGCCAGTGGAAGGAGTTGGAATTAGGGTTTCAGGCTGGTTTAGGGGAGAGGTTGAAGGGGGCTGAGCCCAGTTTTATGGATAAAAAATGCACCTGAAGCCTCAGCCCTCCCTCCCTGTCTGTCTCAGGGAGGAACAGATGGAGGTATTTCCCTAGGCACCCTAAACAAAAACTTAATATCTTCAAATTCCTAATCTCTGCACTGCCAGGAAATGCATGAGGAGCTGAAGTGTTTGCTTTGCTCTGCTCCCAGCACGGGGAAACGCTGAAGCCACCAGGGGATGCTGGAAACTCCCATCCATCAGCTCCCAACCAGCCACTGTGTGGAAGCAGGACCATGGGAGACCTTTCAGGCAGGGAGGGTGAGAGGAGAGGGGCAGGAAGAGTATTTGATGTCATGTTTATACTCCTTACCCTCAAAGCCTCAGGCACCCTGAGCTTTGGGCTCTGCTGCACCTGCTGTGGGAGCCACAGAATTCCAGGCTCAACACCCCCTGCTCTTCCAGGTTTGAGCTCGTCCCTGCTCTGCTCACGGCCCTGAAAACCCTGGGAATCAGCATGTTCCGTGGATCCCACTGGGATACCCACGCACAGGCAGCTTCTCCGCTGGCTGGCACATTCCTTGGAACCTTGTGCTGATGGCAAGGAGAGTGTGGTGCCTCCCTTGGGACACAGGGAGAGGGATGTCACTGCAGTGCCCCTGCTGCCCACAGCAGCTGAGCAGGATGGGGGGCTCCTTCAGTCCCCCCGGGAACCTTCAGCCACACCCTGAGCAGTGCAGAGGGATTTCTGCCAGGCAAACCCAGACCCACCTCAGAATGAAATCCCTGCTGCTTCCTAACATTGCTAAAGGGCTGAGCAACCTCCCTGCAGGGAGGATTAGAGCCAAAACACGTCCCCAGCTCTGAAGCTCAGAGCTCTTGGTGTTTGTGTTTCCCCTCCAGTTACACAGAGCTCTCAGCCTGCACTCAGCTCCAGCTCTGAAGGAACAGCACAGACAAATATAATTCTCCTACTCCAGAGCACACAGGACTGGAATTCCTCATTGCACCACCTAAGAACACAACCTGCCAGACGTGGCACTTGTTCTCTCCTCTGGAGAGCTGAAGGGAAGGGCTGTTTCTGTTCTCCTTAACTGTAAATTAAAGCAGTGTGTGGGTAAAAAAAAAAAAAAAGATATTTGATCATAAACTGCCCGGAAAAACAAGAGAGATAAAGGGTCAGGAAGCATGGAGGTGTGACGGGGATGGAGGTGGGAGCCCCACAACCAACCATCAGATAAGTCAGATTTTCCCCAGGTTTATTTACTAAATGGCTTCACATTCAATGAAATAGTTACAACAAATACTTACAGAGCACAAGAGCAACACCTTGGGAACTACCAAAGACCCCAAAACACCTCACAGTTCTTTTCCTGTGGGACTCAAATGCCACTTTTGTAAACAAGAACAAAGTCAGGACGTTGCTGCTGAAGAAAAGAAGAGAAGATGTACAGGTAAAAACACGTGCACAAACCACAGGGATCAGGTTTCACTCCCAAGCAAAGCCCTCTGGGCAAGTCCGAGTACAATTTGGTATTCTCTGTACAGTTATTAAATCCTGCTAAAAATCCTTGGGTTTAAAATACAGCACAGCTCATAAGGCAAAAAAATAGGAATTATCATCCAGTTCTCTGCGTTTCAGGTCAAGAGAAAGAATTTAAGGCAAGTTTGGGCATTTTGCATTGTTTCATACAGTGAATGGGGACTTACAGATGGGAAACTCATGGGAATAACACGTCACCTCCCAGAAAAAAAACCGTCTGGAATGTGGACTGGACACATTTACCCCTCTAGAAATTCCAAGCAGGCTTCCTGAAAGGAAAGCATTCGTAGGAAGCGAGACTGTCAAGCAGTTTAGAGGTGAGTATCTTAAAAAAAGCAGAAGTTGAGGAGCTGTATGTACACATAGAAACTCGCTGCAAGCCGGTGTAAAGTGCTTTACAGATACGTGGAGAGAGTCAGAACTGGAACTGGATGATAATTTGGAGTTGTTGTGACATCTTAGTTGAAGGTCCTTAATTTTTTAACCTGCAGAGAGACATTCCCATGAGATTATTGATGTTTAAAAGCAGATTCACACTGACTGTGGAGTCTGATCCTCCCCTCCCCAAAGCACTTCAGTGACAGCACAAGCAGCACCTGGATGGGGGAATGGGGATGGCATGATCTTAAGGGACATGATTCCCTAGGAACTGCCCCTGGCAGAGGGTGGAATGAGATGGGCTTTAAGGTCCCTTCCAACCCAAACCATTCCATAATTCCACGATTCCTTCTCCTCCCCACACACAGACATGCAAATACAGCCATGCAGCTCCTCATGCCCTACCAAGAGATGCCCTGGAATAATTAAATCAGGTTATTATTGCTATAACTGGAATCCTTAGTGGGTTAAATCAACAATTTCAGCATTTTCAATGCAGTTTACCTTATTTACATTTAAAGTCCTGCTTGATTCTACCAAATCTGAAGCAGACCTGCAGGATTTTATAGTCTGTGCAAACACCTGTTATTTATGGGCAGTGTTTCATGGTCAAACACCTTCCCTGACCGGTTCAAACCAAGTGTTCAGGGTGGAAGCACAGGACCAGCACTGCTTCCCTGGCTGCAACAGCTCCACAGGAACTCAGCAGAAATCCAGAGCACTCAACACCCCCCAGCTCAGCAGAATTATAAAGAAATGGCTTTTAAAGCAACTATTTCAAATATTATTGCACTGTCAAAAATAATACTACGTGGGCTTGAAAAGGAAGGGGAAACAAACATTAATTTAACATGTTACAGCACAGGGAAAGGGACTCTGGAGGCAGAAAAACCCTCAGTACCAGGCCTGGCAACAGCCAGACAGACAGCAACACAAATCCAAGGTAACTGTGACCAGAGGACAACCCAAAATAGTCTAAATTAGCTAAAATTCTACTTTAATTCTATTTTAAATAAAGGTTCTGACTCCCAGCATTGGTTCCTATCTCTCTGCCCCAATTTCCACAGAGTTTCGGGCTGTCCCACATTGGGGTTAACCCCAGGGTGACCTTTGGCCTCAGCAGGACAGGTTTGGGAGGAGCCCTGGGCTTCCACCTCACTGCACTGGTGCTGAAGGCAGAACTGCGGGAAGAACCCGAGCTGGGATCTCCCTGTTTGCGAGAATGGGAACAATAAACACAGATCTGAAAGGAAACCCCACTAAAGAACCCAGTGAAGAGCTCGTGGTGTGATCCAGGACAGTTCCATAGGCACGGGTGGACGGAGCAAAGAGGAAACCAAAGCACTGGAACAACCCAAACATGCTTTATGCACTGACACCAGGAAGAGCCCCCCTGTGAGCCCCACATTTAGCACCATTTGTAGATGGGAACACTCTGAGAAAGCAGATCATACATTCTTTAAGAAAGGGGGTCCCAGGGAACACGGACACGAGTGTGCCTGGGGGCAGGATGGGACGGGCTGGGCTCGAGGGGTTGTTGTGGATCATGCTGGGAATGCTGCTGCTAGGATTTTTCCTGGCATTCCAACCGAAAACACACAGCAAGGTGAAGTCAGGCCACCTAGCAGTCATTTCTCCACAGAAAGAAAACAGGAGGGAAAGTTAAAAATGCGACTTCTCGTCATCAGACCCAAAAACGCCACGGAGAGGCAAGAAACTTGCCCTGTAAATGTCCCTAAGGAGATCCTAATGATCCTCCCAGCCCTCCTACCGGTGAGCAGGTAACAAAGGAGAGTGTACAGGCAACATCCTATGGCATTTATTATTTACAAACCTTGAGATACAGAAACAAGGCAGCCCTTGAGTTACTGGTCATAAAAAACCCATGAAGCACTGGCGCTTTCTCCACGTGCAGCCACAGCCAGGCACCACTCGGCAAACCCTGCACTCACACACACACTCACACGGCTCTCACCCCGAGCACAGTAAACTTCATATTCCAGAGGAGGCAGGAGGAGGAGAGGAAAGCTCTAGAAAGGGTTAGATGGACGAGTTTCCAACCGGCTCCCGGGCGTGGACAGCGCTCCCCAAACCCCACTGCCACCAAGAGGGGGCCAGCTGAACCCCGCCGGTGAGGCAGCTCTGCACTCCTCTGCTGCTGAAAGAACAAAGGCCAATTATGGGAAGAAAACAAGCGCTCATTTTAATCCCAACCTCGGCACGTTCCTCAGGTGCAGCTGGGGCCCCGCAGGGACTGTCTGCAAGCAGAGCCAGCTCGGTCCCGTTGTCAGTGAGGTCCGTGGGGCCCTGCCCCGGTCAGAGCGCGGCCAGGCCGAAGTTGCAGCGGCAGTACATCATCCCCGCTGAGTCCAGCCACGTGTCCGAGATGGGGTCGTACTTCTGCACCGTGTTCAGGTAGGAGGAGCCCGAGTGCCCCCCCACCACGTACAGGTAGTTATCGATCACCGCCGCCCCCACCCCTGCGGGGGAAACACACCGTGAGCCAGGGCTGGCACTGAGCCACCCACCCTCCACCCGAACAGGGAGCCCGCACAGCCCCTCCTCTGGGCTGTCCTTAGAGAAAATGGGTGAAGAGCCCTTTCTGCTCAGGTCTGACAGCCCTTTTTTACTGCTCTTGTGCCCCTTCCTATGATAAAACAATGTTCTTCTGTCCCTTGGAGAACAGAATCATGGAATAGCCTGAGCTGGAAGGGACTCACAGGGATCATCCAGCCCAACTCCTGGCCCTGCCCAGGACACCCCAACAATCCCACCCTGTCCCTCAGAGTGTTGTCCAAACCCTCCTGGAGCTCTGGCAGCCTTGGGGCTGTGCCCACTGCCCTGGGGAGCCTGTTCAGTGCCAACCACCCTCTGGGGGAAGAGCCTTGTCCTGAGATCCCACCTGAGCCTGCCCTGGCACAGCTCCAGTCATTCCAGGGTCCTGTCCCTGCTCACAGGGAGCAGAGACTGAGCTGCCCCTTGGGATGGAACTGCAGCTGCACCACAGGGATGCACCACTGAGTGTCCCCATCAGATACAGCAGCACAGTGACCACAACTGCTGAAACCTCCTCAAAAACAGTGAAAATGCAGGAGGTAGAATAGAAATATTACTCCACATTACTTTTGCTACAGCTCAGTATCAATGAGCTGGCTTTAGAGATAAATAATGATTCTTTCCCAGAGCTGACTAAGTGACCTTCACCCCCAGATGAAGTGCAGTGCTCTGCAGGTTCTGTCAGCTCAGACAGGTCATTCCCAACAGGAATTCCCTCTGCATGTCCCACCTGTTCTGGGCTCCTTCATGGGCCGGCACACCGTCCACTGGTTCTGGTGGGGGTCGTATCTCTCGATGCTGGACAGGTGGGACACCCCGTTGTGGCCCCCCACCACGAAGATGAAGCCCAGCATGACCCCCACGCCGAAGTTGATCCGTTTGTCGGCCATGGAGGCCACGTTCTCCCAGGAGTTCTTGCTCGGGTCGTAGCGCTCCATGCTGGGAGACAAACACGGCCCGTGAGCCCCTCGGGCACTCTGGGG